CCCCCGCCAGTAATTATGGCTGTCTAATGAAATTAGTAAACCGTGGCTGATGCTAGAACAACGGCTTTAGATTTCTCACCCTCCCGTGGACCTGAAACGCATTTGTTGATGGCATAGTTGCGGCGGATTCCTCCAGTCGGTAGAATGGCGGCGGATTCTGCAGCTTGAGCTTGCTAGGAACAGGAGCTTGTGCTTAACGAACGGCAAAAAGGATCGGTATTGACAAATAATGACAGAAACTGATGGACTGTTGCTCAGTGCATGCGTTTTGCTGTTGGAGAAGATTGATCGAAGTCAAAGACAAAAGGCGCCAGTCGACCAAGCGGCAGCTGCATGTCGAGGAGATTGGGAGTTGGGCGAGAAGGGAAGAGAGAGAAGAGATGAAACGACGCGGGGGGCATTTTGGAGCTGCAGAGTTTCTGCAGAGCCCCAAAACCTGTTGAACTTGTGTTGCGTCGTGTTGGTTGTGTTGTTGTACTGTGTTATTTGGTGCAGCCCCATGTCGCCCAGTCTGTACGACAAATTGTCCATCACACTTGGGCTGAGATGAGATGGCAGGGTCATCATGTACCCGTTGGCAACTTACTTAAGTACTTGAGTAGTGGGCTAGCCACTTAGTCGCTGACGGGTACCTGCCAGGGTCCCCATGCTCCATACCGACCCTAACCCCATATGGACTAGTTTTGACAGGTCGCCGGCCCGTTGGTGGTCAGTTGGTCAGTTGGTCCGTACGCATCACCCCACCCATTGACGTCCCGTCTCATTCCAGTTGCCGCGCTCTCTTTTTCTTTCTGCCATGATGAATCAACCCTCAACTCCTCGTTTCTAGCATCCAAACATGTTGGCCCACCAACTTTTTTGCAATGCGCAGGTACACTTATCTCCGGAGGCCCATATGTACATCTTGTCCCAACACGAATATGGAGGGTGATGTCTTATTTTCATGACCCTTGCCACACACGAGCCTCGTGCTTTATTCTCTTCGGCAAAAATCTGCCAAGCTGCTCGGCAACTAATAATAGCCACATGCAGCCCACTATCAGCACAAACAGTCACGTAAGCTCCTTCGCTACAAAGGGAGAAGCCATTACGAGGTATGAAAAACGTGATTCGACAGTCTCCGTCAGTTGAAACAAGAGCTTACGGAAATCACCTAGCGCTTGTGTGCATAGCCATGTTTATGCAAGTATTAATGCATAGTCTTCAAGGGACGCCCCTATCATGATAATCAGGAATTCGGTTCTTCAGGTCTCCAGTCTAGTCATCAAGCCAATTTACCCTCAAAACCCCGATACAGGAAAAGCAAAATTACGAAGTGGGTTCCCAAATTTTCCGAGGCATGCAATGCCGCCCTCCACAAGCCGTATCCAATCTAACATTATGCTTGATAAGAACATCAGTTGGGGATGCGGGGATGGCGAGATGGCAGAAGAAATCCTACACTACCAGCGGCTTTCTTGTCCACATCAGTAGGGAGGCGGGGACTTGCAGCGCCGCCGAGACGCAGAGAACAAGGGTCTGACGACTGTAACCCTCTGCTAGAGTGTATCGGATCTGCTCCTGAACCATTGTGGGCAGCGTGGCAAGGACAGCGACTAGGGAGTCGGCACCAGCGGCGCCCAATTCTTGGAGTCGTGATCTCGCGAAGCTGTTGAAAACGGAGGTTGAGATGGCCAGAACCATTGAGCTACCAATAAATCTGAATTGCGATGCAGCCCCAAGGCCGATAGCTAATGGAAACAATTAGAGTCTTTTCCCTCTCCCTTTCTCCGAGACACAGAGGACCAAGGGCAGAACTAACCGTGGTCGCGTTTCTCAATGACAAACGGAACCATCAAGAATAGCAAGGAGAAGTTTATACCACAGCCCCATCCGGCAATGAGCTCATAGCCGTAGATTCGTGCTGGTATTTCTAGCGTCGCAGGCAGTGTTCCCAGCAGACCAAACCCAAGTACCTGCAGGCAAGAGCCCGCTATGATGAGATACAAAGGTGGCACTTTGTACCTTCCCACCAGACTGGATGCAAAGATTGAGCTAACCGGAATGGCTGCGGTGAACGGAATCAATCGGACACCTGCGTCGAGTCCAGAAGTGCCATATACCAGTTGAAACCTCTGAGGGATGATGA